TAATTATCATTCAATCAACTCAATAAAAAATCTTACAAAAAAAAATAAAAAATACTAAATATTAGATAAAACACAAATCAACTTGTATTGGGTTACTAATTTTTGTATCTAAAATCCTTGCTTTTACTTTTGTTAGTTATCACAACTATAACATTGCTTATGTTTGCATTTTTCTGCATTTAAATTATTCTTTGTAATCTCATATTTAAATGTATGTTGTATGTAAAAATTAATCAAAATTTGATAAATAAATCACATGGACCAATTAAACTTAAGATTTCATATAAATGAATCTCATTTAAAACATAATATAAGCCATATTTTTCATAATTTCATTACTCTGTTCCTGGTAATGCTTTTAATAAAAACTCAAATATAATTAAATCAGATTTGTCTAATATCAAATAATGTCTTAAGTTTTTTATATGTAATTTGTATTGACACTAAATACCTCACTACCATATTAATAAAAAATGCTTTATTTAATTGGATGACAAATCAATTACTAAGAACAGTTTAAAGTTTAAAGAACTTTTTTCAAGATTATTTTAATAATTTAATAAATAAAAATAAATAATAAAATACTAGTCTTCTTTTTACTATGTAGTATCCTATTTTTAAAATTACTTTATAACAATACCAGACAAGAGACTGTCTTATATCATTGCAGTATTATACTATTTAACACAATAGCATTATGGTATTTAGATACAATAGCATTATTGTATTTTGACATAGTGGCATTATAGTTATGGCACTGCGGCATTACGGTTACGGAATTACGGTTACGGCATTACGGCATTACGGTTACGGCGGCATTACGGTGACGGCATTAAGCTCAAAGAAATTACGGCAAATAATACGACATATGCCGTAACCGTATTAATTTGCCAAATGAATTCTACTGCCAACTATACCTCAAATACGTTGCATAAAATTTTTGTTTTATGTAATGCGAGTTTTTCTATAATAAATTTTGGCCACGTATATATTATTTTTTTCTGCTAATATATAACAATGAAAGAACATAGTACACTCACAAATAAAAAAAGACAAAATCACTTCGAAAAAGTGGCATATCTTTAGAGGCTGGAAGCACGGGTGTAAGGTCTGCGACGAATGCAATCATCATTCACATCTATATTGTAAGACCTGTAAAAAAGTAGTGATGTGAATGTCCGTATAACTTATTTGTGAGACGGGTCACAAGTTATTTTTCATTTTTCTGGAATTGGTACCCTAACCAAAATCAGCCAATTAACTCATGTCCTTATTTTTTTACCAAGTTTAACCTTACATGACTCTATAGCTCGTGAAGCATACATTTACATAATTCTTTTCATCGATGGAATTTATCTGCATGTCTCAGCTTCTATCGTAGAAATTTTTGGTGTAAGAGCGCATGATTTTGCTTCTGCCTAACCTTTACATTTCGGGTTTCAGAGAAGAGGTGAAAGAAAAAAACATATAAAAGGACAGTGTCTTGAATTCATTGTTATTTGTCGCTTTATAGCGATTCTGTTTCTTGCAATTCTAATCTACTTTTTACATTCAAAATTATTTTTAAAAATTCCGTTTCTTGCAATTTTTAAACTACTTTTTTTTTTTACTTTCAAAATTATTTTTAAAATGCCTACCGAATTATATAACAAGATTTACAATTTTTGACAACTGCTGAAAACAAAAAAAGATAAATGCTATATCTGTTGTTTATCTTGGAATGAAAAAAGATCGTTGGATTGAGCAGAGTGAATTAAAAGCAACTGTAAAACGTGCCGTCGAATCTACCAGCAATGTGCGTATGAAAAGTTCACGTCGATCAAGAATTTCTCAAATTTTATCGCAGGTTGGTTGATTTTAAGATTTATTAGACTTTAACCTACAGATGATGATGATGATATTGTGTGATCTATTTTCTTTTGAAAATACTGAATAAATGAATCCGGAGTTGATTTGTTAGGCTTATATTTCTTTCACTTATTTAGCTCGCTTGCCGATAAATACTTGCGCATAATAGAGGGTGAATATGCTATAATCTGTTATGCAGTTTATAGTTCACTCTACAAACCTATTATGTGAAAAGGTTATTGCCATGACGAGGAGTGAAGTAAAATATAAGTTGGTATGAAGCTACCTAGTATCACACAAAGTTTCATCCGCGTGATGGCCACACAACGATGTTAAACTTTGCATATGCACTGTTAATCAGCGTTATTTTAATGATGATATGTTCCTGAAATCTAACGCATTTTATATTTATTATATTAGTTTGAAAATGCCTTTGAGAGGGTTAGTGGTTTATATGATATGGGGGCGATCAAGTCGGATAAAGGAAAGCCTTTAGATTCTGATAAAATCGACAAAAATATAAATTTATTAAAAAACAAGCTCAAAAAAGATAATACTGCTCTTTATCAACATTTATATTCGGCTGTAAGCTCTTACCCTATTAATGAATTAACTTGGAAAGACCCATTAGCAAGCCAGGTTATTAGTAATAAATCAACGATTGTAGAAAACTTAAAAACAGATTACACAAAAGCATTTGAGGTATGACTTATTTCTTATTTATTATAAAG